TCAGAGGAGTTAGATCTGGGGCTCAGGTGTGTTTCCTGGTCAGTCACACCCAGGTCCCAGTTCGGACTTTGGCTTGGCCTCCTCATCTGTGGGATTAGATAAGGCCTCCCAGCCTGCACGGTATCAGGGCGGTCACCCTATGTAAACACCATTTCCCCATCCCTCCCCAGAGCCAGACCTGCCTGGGGGCCTTTTCCACTCCTGCTGGCGTCTCAGGCCCACAGCCCGTCTTGGGTGGGTGCGGCCACCTAGCGTCCCGAGATGTTCCAGTGTGCGCCTTTTTTCTGGGTGGATTCTGTGGGGGCAGGGAGGGGCCCCCCAACACACACACGTAGAGAAAAAGGGACAGATGGTCCTCTGCGGCTGAGGGGACTCGCTGTCAGGGGTCCCGTCTTCCTGGTCCAGCCAGACCCTGCAAAGGCCACAGAAGGTGGGAAGGAGCTGCTTTGGGGGGCGCCCAACTGCAAGGCGTAGTACAACAATAAACGTAAATGGGCCGTACGTTGTTTCAGTCGTCCTCACGATCTTTTAACTGCTCTCCCTAGCGGTTGGCAGGCCCAGCCAGCCATGTACCAATGGCAGCCTCCTCTTCGTGTCACTTGTTTTGATTTTCCTCAGACAGAGGTCGTACTCTTGGAGGAACAAACGAGGCTGTGTTTGTCTTTTATCCTGGAGACAGTGGAGCTTTTGTGGTCCGGGCAGGCCGTGCGGGTCGTGGGGTCCTGGGCATGGTGTGCGTGACAGAAGGATTGCAAGTGGGCTCCTGTGGGCCCTGCCTGGCACGGGGTCCCTGGCAGCAGCAGGTGCAGTGGCACCAGGCACACAGGCCACCTCCTTGCTTTCCAGCTCTGCAGCCATCCCGCCAGTACCTCAGCTCCCATGCATTTGCCAAACTCGTGTCATGGGCTTCAGGCTTGACTGGAGTCAGCCTCAGTGTGCCCTGCAAGGCGACTGGCCAATTAATAAATAGGGCGGCATGTGAGTCATCTACCATGTGGGGCACCCTGGCTGCCGAGACACGAGAGTGGTGCACCAGGCAGAGTAAAAGCCCATGGTTGTGAGCTGATTGAAACACAGCCCCGTCCAGGAGGGATGGTCCCCATCAAGACGCCAGCAGGGACTTGCGTTATGGGCAGGCAGTGCTGTTTGGGATCATTTGGAATCATTTTAAGATTTTTCTGTAGTTCATCCCTGATATCTAAGGGCAGCACTCTCTGATAGAAATACAGTGTGAGCCACGTAGGGATAAATTTTATTTATTTATTTATTTAGTTTCTTAGAGATGGGGTCTTACTATGTTGCCCAGGCTGGCCTTGAAATTCTGGGCTCAAGTGATCTTCCCACCTTAGCCTCCTGAGAAGCCAGGACTGTGGGTGCATGCCACCGTGCCCAGCTTGTCACTGTCATTTTTAATCTTGGAATGTTTGCCCTATTGCTCTATTGCCATGTGAAAAATTTTGCTGACAGCTGGGAAGCCTCTGGTTCTTCTGTAAAGCAAACCTCTCTTTACGGTGACTTAATAATGATTTCTGTCAGGTAGAGAAGAAATCTTAAATGAAAACCCTAAATAATGTTTTGGGCTTTCTGGTAGGTTTTAGAAGGAGACCTTCTGGAAGGTAAATGGTAATGCCATCCAACCCTGGCAAGTTCTTAATGAAACTAATGATTTTAATAGGCTGATGTTATTACTCCTTATAATTTATATCCTCATTACAAAATTGTCTGCTCAATGTCTGCTAAATTCCTATCAGTCTTGGGAGGCTAAACTTCCTCTTTAGTTCCTGTTGCAACCATGACAATTTTCTCCTTTTCGTTTGAAAAGAGTGGCCCCAAAGGCCCAGGGGTAAGAATAAGTAGTGGCTGTGACAGTCTGTGGACATCAGGATCAATCTAGGGAGCTTTGTGCTAAATCATGTCAAGCTAAGAATTGGCTACATAATACCACCTGAATGAAAGAGAGAAGTAAGACTTATTTGCTTATCCAGCGT